TATGTTAAAGGATGCTAAATGTCTAGCAACCCCCAGATCATCCAAGTATAGGACACTCTTGTGGGATACTCTTGTCGGACACTCTTAAGGGACACTCTTAAGGGACACTCTTGTGGGACACTCTTGAGCGACACTGTTGCGGGACACTCTCGTGGGACACTCTTGTGGCACACTCTTGTGAGACACTCTTGTAGAACACTCTTGTGGGAAACTCTTGTGGGACACTCTTGTGGAACACTCTTGTGGGACACTCTTATAGGACACTCTTGTAGGACACTCTTGTGGGTCACTCTTGTAGGACACTCTTGTGGGACAGTCTTGTGGGACACTCTGTGGGACACTCTTGTGGAACTCCTTGTGGGACACACTTGCAGGATGGACAGTCTTGTAGGACACTCTTGTGGGACACTCTTGTGGGACACTCGTGTAGGACACTCTTGTGGGATACTCCTGTAGGACACTCTTAAGGGACACTCTTTTGAGACACTCTAGTGGGACGCTGTTGCGGGACACTCTTGTGGGACTCTCTTCCAGCTCCCCAGATACTCCGCGTACTAAAGTTGTACTACAAGGTCGCCAGTTCTCAGCTTCCAGCTCCACCGGACAAATCGCACTCTCGCCTGCATTTCGCGCACTCAACACGCACGATCTCCGCAGAGGGTTGCGCGCGCATGGGACAAATCGCACTCTCGCCTGCATTTCGCGCACTCGACACGCACGATCTCCGCAGAGGGTTGCGCGCGCATGGGACAAATCGCACTCTCGCCTGCATTTGGCGCACTCAACACGCACGATCTCCGCAGAGGGTTGCGCGCGCATGGGACAAATCGCACTCTCGCCTGCATTTGGTGCACTCGACACGCACGATCTCCGCAGAGGGTTGCGCGTCAAGTCTCCAAAACGAGCGTTTCGTACGAGACTTCCTCAAAAACTCACACGTCAAAGTCTGCAAAACGAGCGTTTCGTACGAGACTTCCTCCAAAAGTCAAGCGGAAACACCCATCGGAGCACACACATCACGCAGCCCTGCCAAGCAGTTTCGCGATTCCAGCCCCTCCAAACAACATCCGCTCACACGCCAATCCCAATGGGACAGCGACATTCACCTCTACCACAACTCACACTCTACCACAACTCACAACCTCACGATTCCCTGCGCCTGCCACGAATCTTTCCCCATCCACACGTCTAACGCGCACAAAGTACTGCGCCTGCCACGACATGTGACCTCCGTCACACCTCGCAACCTCACGATTCCCTGCGCCTGCCACGAGAATCGCACTTCCACGCCTCAAAACCCGCACAAAGTCCTGCGCCTGCCACGAAAAGTGACCATATCATCTCCTGTGAGCTTCAACAAAATTTGCACCACACCACACGTTTGGAATGATTTCGACCCATTCTGAGCACACTCCCATCCACCTAAATCGCCATTTCAGCTGAGACTTGTCACGAAAACCGAGCTTCGATGCCACACCCTGAAACGCAAGTCCCAATGGCACGGCCACATCCAACACCCCAAAAACACGACTCTCCAAACGCTAATCCCAATGGAACTGCGCAGCAATCTGCGGATCTCACAAAACGCTGCACCTGTGCAGCGAAACGTATCACGTTTCTTGCGCGACATGTCGGTGTCATGCAAATCACAATGGAATAGCGGCGCAAACTGACACGTGACACGTCCATGCAAAGTCACTTGCAAAAGCTTCCCCCAATGGCAGCAAATTTGAGACGCGACGACGACGACAGACGACGACAGACGACGAGAGACGACGACAGACGACGACAGACGACGAGAGACGACGAGAGACGACGACACGACGCACGCCACGCGAACACAGCTCCAACCCCCAGACCCCCAACTATAAACGGGAACCCTTCGCTACGCATTCGGGAAAAACAACAATACACCGACCCACGTATATAGTGAATCATATACAGTAGTTGAACAGCTGGCAATGAGATTTCACAAAATTCCAAAAGCTCTCTCAGGAAAGATGCGACCAAATGTTTGATCAAAATGTCGACGGTTCCTTCCGCATTGCGACTTTCAGGAACCCAAACAGCGACTTGCGTGGAGCGAACGCCATTTGGCTTGCAGAAACAGCACTCTTCTGTCCAGTGATCCGTCTTACAGTCGTAGTTTCCAGGTATCGGAAAACCGATCTTCTTCTGGTCCTCTGGCAAACTCCGAGATAGGCAGCCCTACACACGTCTGCTATTAACAACATTAATTATATATATTCTAAATATTATAAATTCATGCAAATTCGACATAGCCGCACCAGCATCTTGGGCTATCTGGGTGAATAAAACGGTGAGATAATATGCCCAGAATGTTCTCTCGAAACACAAACAGTGTCCTCTGCAAAGAAGAAATCATTAATGCGCACATTCTCTATGACCACGTGCATGGATCCTTCTCCATCCTCACATCGAAACCAGCGACAAAGGTTGCTGCTATTTTCAGTCATAGCCCTTTGTTGTTGCGTCTTTTTCCAAATAAAATACGTTGAGTGGCAAGTATTCACCTACCTGTGTGGATATTTGGGTGGTCTCGTTTAATGCACTGCTCCGCAAAATAATCCAAATCAAATGCCAAACATAATAAACACACATTATCCCAACAACTATAATATATATATATTTATATATATATATACATTCTGCATGGCACACCCAAGTTTAAAGTGCAGCTGATGGCAATGGAGGAACAATGTCTAATTCTATCATTGGGACTGGGACCCCCAAAAATAGCACACACCACCTATCAGTGCAAACCTTGAGAGCAAAAGGTATACCAAATGAACAAAATCATCCAAATCAACTTATTCTGACATATATCCTTTTGTCCATCTGTCCTGTCCATCTGTCCTTTCCCCCCCCAAAAAAGGACACCAACATCTTTCTCTGCCCAGCTCAGGCATCAGAGCCCCCAGTGTTCACCTGGGAGACCTTGCAGTCGTTCTCTGCGCAGCCCTTGGTCTCGAAGGCCCCGCCGCCGCAGAGGGCGCCGTTGTCGTCCGGGCGGATGGTGTCCACGCCTTGGTAGCCTCGTTGCGGAGGAACCCGGGCCCTTGGCGCCCCCAGGTTAACCCGGGCCCTTGGCACCCCCAGGTTAAGGCAGGTGGGTGGCTGGAAGCAAAGGAGAATCAGCTGGAAATTGGGGGGAAGTGACTAAGTGCATGTTCTATAAGTCGATGTGTTTTGGTTGGGCTGCAAAACGATGTTTGTAACGAGAGTTTCAATTGTTTTAAGTAGTTGTGATCCAACGTTGGCTAAGAAAGACGCAAACATCTGTTGTATATACACATGTTTGCACTGTGCATGTCCTCGAGATTGCTGAAGTCCAAGTAGCTGATGTCCTTGACGGTGACCTTGCTACTAAGCACAAAACCAACTCTGGTGGTGACCATGTCCTTGGCGTGGCAATAGACCATGTCATAGCGGTTGACCTCGTCGCACGGCCAAACAGCTTGTGATGGATGTTGTTTAGTATTGTTTTTTGGTCATAATTCATAATTAATTACCGTTGATGTGTGAAGTCCCGTACTGCTGCACTATAGAGGCTTACAATCACCACGGTTTTCCTCTATCACATGGTGACTTAAAGGCTCTTCTCCTGTCAACAAACATGCCAAAAGGTCTACTCTGTTTCAGGACGAAAATGCTGGGGTCCACAGCGGCTTCAGTGGATCCATGAACGGTACAGCCCATGTGAACCATGCGCGTTCAGCCCAACTCCACTTAAAAAATAAACGCAGCTCGGCTCAATTCTCACATCAGGCCGCTCCACGTGTAGCCAGAAACAACGTCTGGCCTTTCCAGTCTGGAGTCTTCTTGGGATTCGCCATGTCGTTTGGGCTGGCAGCACCCACGATTGAGCAGCTGGCAGGAATCAACAATTGCTCATCAATCTCAAAGATGCCAGGTGGGAATCGGAACACCTTACGGCCTGAGTTCGCGGAACTTTGTTGGTCTTAGTAAAGGTATCATGCCTTATGAATGGATCCCTATAGATCCAAGCAAACACAATCAATAATAGATATGCAATGATATGCATATGTGCAGCGGCATTTATTTGGTACTAAACTCAAATACACCATCTATTATGTGGGGGCCCTATCTCGTTTAGACTACTTATATAAGGAGGTCATGTCACAGTACCTTGTTCAGACTACTTTAGTAGCAAATCACACTATCTCGTTTATGTGGGGGCCCTATCTCGTTCACAAGCGAATGCTGATGATAAATAAGCAAATAGAGCATGTAAAGCCTAAATAAAAGTGGTTGCTCATATAGATATGATATGCCTATTTCATCCTATTTCATCTGGTGATCGTGCGAAACCTGACCAACTGCCCCTTGGAAACTCTTCGTCTGCCCACCGGCCTTCCTCCACGTTGCACCGGATCTCTGCAGTTTGCCCCGAGGACGAGGTCAGCTGGACCGACGAGCGGCAGTCGCCATGGAGGATGAGATCCCTCCAGGACGTGTAGACGAAGATGGGACAGTCTGGCAGGGATGAGGATGTCATGTGCCCCAAAAAGCCGCCTACCTAAAAAAGATAAAAGAAAATAGAACTGTTGATATATTCCCCATGGTGGTTGAACAGGTGTCCCTTGCAGGTGATCAGATTGTGTTGCTCACAACTGTTTTACCTGCAAGCTAAATCAATAGACTTGAATGGGCTGAACTCTGAAAGACCTCAATGCAACTGGTCTACTTTCGATTTCTCATGATTTCTCTAGGACAAGGTCTTGTAGGCAATGTCCGTTTTGCAATACCGCAATGGCTGCCACGAAGGAACGCATCAACCAAGGATGCAGCATCATATGACTGGTGATGAACAACAACCCCAAAGCCACATGACATACAGTAAATGATCCTAGGATCATACTTTCAGAGAATACGCCTGGCAAGCATCATGTAGTAGACCATAGTAGACCTACATTTAGAGTAAAGGCGCTACCTTACCGCAAGCTCTATTGGTCAATGGTTCGGGGATGTCCAACATGTTTTCGCCATTGAGCTGTTTGCATGCTCTATGACTTCAAGCAAACCCGACTGCTCGGGCATGGGCTGTCGCCTGGGCAAGGCGAGTAGCTACCTTTGTCATTGTCCCTCACATCCAGATGCGCCCGGTCGCCACTGCTGAAGGCAGATACGGCCAGGACCAGATTGAAAATGATGGTCAAATACATGGCAACTCAGAGAGGGTGCGGTGACCCAACAGAAGCTGGGAGGTTCAGAATGTGGATGGTGCGATCATGTGCGATCTGTATGTCGGTCGATTCGCTACTTAAAGCACTCCAAGAATTGTTCAGACTAGTACTGGACATATTCATCCTGAAGCATTCTGAGCTCTCGACCCCAGTGTCCTCATTTCAATAAAGATTATCTTTGAGCCATGAAGCTGCGGAATGAACATTTCGCTTCGAAGGTTTGGTCAATGGCCATCGTGGATCATACTGATGTGAAATTCCGACATGGTAGGACTTCCTCCCAGAAGACTGTGCCCTTGCTCCTTGTGATGTCTGACCTCCAGTGTGTATGTGGGGCCTTGCAGCTGGACTCACACCGTCGTCAGCAAGCGAGTTCAACGTATTCCCCCTGGCTATGACCTGACACGGCCCGTCTGACATGGACATGATATGACATGATCGACCAGAGTTGGACCGCGCCTGGCAGCGCCCTGGACCGCGCCCTGCACCTGGCGGACCGTGCCTGGCAGCGGGAAATGAGTCATGAACAAAGAGTCCAACTCAGTGTGCAGGTCTTATGATGCAATCCTGCCCCGCTGGATCTTTAGGATATCAGTTTTGAAAGACTGAAAAATCAACAGGATCCTCGTATCTGTTACAAGTGTTCATAATGACAGAAGAAAAGTGAAACCTTCTTCTCTGTGCATCTCTATGCATAAAACTCCTTTGGGACGCTGGCTTCACTCCTTCCACCCACTGCAGCAAGGACCACCCTGACCGCCCCGCCCCCGCTCGTATGGGCTTTGGATCCTTTTCGGCATGGATCAAACACGTCGCTCACACGGTGCGTTGGATCAAACGCGTCGCGGGGATCACTGCGAGTGCAGGCATGGAGCCAGCCAGGATCATCCCCAGCACGTAGCCCTGGAGCCACAGGACAGCGGTTAGCCAGCCAGCCAGCCATTCAATTCAACCGCAGAAGAGGCTTTGTGAGTGGAGGTCGACTCATGGCCGTCTCCATGGCTTTTCCGCGCCGTCTTCCGCGGAGAAACATGCGCACGCGCGCGCGGGTCTGCGCTCCGCGCAGCCTGGTACTCATAGTGAGGTCCATGCAGGACGCTGGTCTCATCGTCACCTGGAGGCGGCGAAGGGCTCTGAACACCGAGGCTGAACACGAACAACGGGCGAAGAACGCCTCAGGCGACTTATAGGTGACTGACGCTGTGAGAAGCCACTCAATTAGATGCCACCCTGTCATGTCATGAAAACATATCAAAATCAAGAGGAGACTGACGGGAGGGCTCCAGGGAGGTCTCTCCAACTGTTAATTAAAGGCATGAAAAACACCAACAACATTTGAAGGGGACAGCTTTGATCTTGGCACTTGTCGGTCAACGTGGATGAAACTACTCAGTCCCCCACATGAGAAACAAGTTGCGGCTGGGCTGTCAAGATATAGAAACATTAGTAGACCCACTCCTGAGAAAGCGACGCCACAGCGAGCCTGGCCTGTGAACAACCACAGAACTCCACCAGTGACTAATGGCCCCAGGCAGCTACCGATGAAGCCAGCAATGCCCCACAAGCCAAAGGACTGGGCACGGTCCTCGCGGTTGGACCGGCACTTCTCAACAAGGACGGAGCAGCGTTGTGCGAAATTGATTGTTTTCCGGTGCATAGGATCAACATGCCCTTGGTTCCTAGTAGCTATTTGTTCCTAGTAGTAAGGCCAGGAGCCCCTAGTAGCGTCCTTGCTCCTAGTAGCGATGCCCGTTGTTCCTATAGGTGCATGTTTGATGTTGTTGCCTCGTTTCCCTGTCCTTATTTGCTGGGAGGCATTTCAGAGCTAAAGCATAGTCCACGCCTTTGCTTCACGGCTTGTAACACGGGAATTGCATTGCAAGATCAATGTAGGCATGCTCTGAAGCAATGTCCTACTTCATTGCAACCGTGGCATGTGTCTGAATCGATCGTTTTCAATTCGACTATATAATTACAGCAATGGCTGAGTTAGTCAGGCTAGTTAGGGTTTGCCAGCTCGTGCAAGCACCAACCAACCACGACAGAAGCCAATCAAACCTAACAAACACTTGACAAGGACTTTATTAAGTATTCTTCACTTACCAGCATGGCGAGGACTTTGAATGGCTATTCAGCTGTTCCTCACCTCCCCTCAAATCTTTGAACATCACCAGAATGATGCCTCACTATGTCAACATGACCAAAACCCGCATGATCCGCATGTGAGTCCCTTAAACAAGTCCTACATTGTCGCAGACTCAGGAAGATTCTGGAAATGTGGTGTTCTAGAGGACAAGAGTCTTCCAGGGGGTGCAGTTTCAGTTGTTAAGTCACTTTCCAAGGGTGTTCCTTTTCACCATGTCACGGCCGATCTGCCTTCGAAACTTCTTGACAACCTCTATGTAATTACACAATCTTCATTGCCAAGCTGCTCATATAAGACCCCGCTCCAAGTCCATATATCACAGCTCCCACCAGCATGACGGACCAGCCCACGCGAGCAGCCACGATGAAGGCCAGGAAACTGGCCTTTTCACACGAGTGCCACGGAGCGGCGCGAGTTCACTAATGATGTCCGAACGAACAGGGATACAGGGATCGTACCAATATTATGGGTTGTTCACTTGGGTATCAGTACTAGCAACTCACGAACTGTATGTAACTACTGCTTGGCTGCAAGGGAACACACCGTGAATTTGTTGCTCATATATCCCTTCTAAGCACGCCATGGACTCCCCTTTTTGTTGAGAAGACTGAGGTGATCTTGGGGGGTGTTTCAGAGGATGAGTTTGGAGTTGACTCTCATCGTGTACAGTGTACATCACAGTCACGTGGACTGAATCACTCAAGGACAGGACCTGACGACAGTTCCATCCGCAAACACCAACCGCTGGACTGGGCTTGACATGGCTTGACTTGGGAACCCCAGTTCACTCTTGACTCAACTCTTGCAGAATATAAATACAACAAAAGACTCCTGGTCCTGTAGAAGTGAAATTCCTATCCTGTGTGGTGGTTTTTGCTCCCCAGTGTCCATTCCATTCTTCCATTCTTCCAACCCCGGCTCAATGGCTTCAAGGAGCACATTGCACCAGGCAGGAGACGTAGACCATCGGCTTGCATCCCACCAGGTCGGAGATTCGACTGCTGGGCACGGCCACCACGGCCCCAACGCCTTGACCGATGAAGACCTCGCGTGTCAGAGGTCGGAGAGTGGATCGAACATCAAAAGGAACACAGTGGATTTGGAGGATCTCCTTGTTCCAACACATGATCCTAATTACACCCTAAGTATGCATTCATACTACCAATGTAATATATAATATGATTCATGATGTACTACGCATACCTTGGCATTGAACCACACTTGCCCTGGCAAATTGACCAACAACATCCAACCATGCAAATTCTTCCAACAAAACGCGGAAGTGGAACCCCCCTGCTGCTTGTGGAGGAATATGGTCTTTCAAGGCTCCATTTGTCCATCACATGTTTGTTGGGGGTAACTGTTCCCCAGCTCGATGGGGTGCCCGACACAGGAAACGCCCGACACACCCAGAAAACGGAAAACCACGCCACCAGCAACGAGAGCTTTGAGATCACTTCCGGCTCCGATCTCACCTGCTTTCGAATCACTGGTCCCAAGACGAAGGAAGGAGTCCGTGCCGGAGTCTCGGAGTTGTCCTCATATGATTCATATGGTGTGCACTTGCTTCGTTAGCTGGTTGGTTGGTTTGTATTTCCTTGTCATAATAGGCGAAATGAAGGTGGGATCTTTATATTTTTGGCTAGTGACACAGCCTATACATGGCTTCCTTCTTGGCGTGCCATACTCGCTTTAAGGACTAGATATCTGAAAACCCCTGAAAACTGTCCTTATCTGCGCCTGGAACATATCGCGAATGAAATAGGCCATGAAGACAATCACCTGAGTTGATCAAACAATCAACTCAATCATCTCCAAGAGCTGGCTCGCATCGAAAGCATCACAAAGCAACTCTCGAACCGCTCTGGTACTGCTCTCCGCATCTCTCCGTTCTCACCCTGCCCCAAGGGCCCAAGGGTCGGCCCCGACGAGCGGTCGCGGTCCCGGGTCGGTCGGTGTTGGCCCAAGGCGCTGATTGGCTGGTGTAGAACAGGAGACGTCCATAGCACACCTGGGAGGAGAGCGACACCACGACCAACCGAGCGACACCCACCGAGCGAATGCGTCTCATATAGATCAAGGCACGTGCGTTTCAAAGAACTGCAGAACAAGAGAGGTGTATGTCATAACATGACATGGCATTACTATATTTATATTTGGGTTGCTGACAAAATTTCACAGGTAATTATTATGGTTGCATGCGGTTGACTTTTGTTGATGGTTCAACAAACAGAAGGCATGTCGCATGAAGTGCTGGCATATATGTGGAAGTTCTCAGCCTCTCTTCTGTGTCTCCTTGCTGTTTATCTCAAAAAAAGAGGTCGAGACGAGATGAAACAACATGAAACAAAGGTATGCATGCACAGCTGATGTGTGTGTGTGTGTGTGCAAGGCCTTTCTTTTAGCCAAGAAACCCAAAAGAAGTCTGCGTCCCTCTCAGTGTCCATGCTGTATGCAGCCAGAATCTCGCCTGCCGAAACCAAGTGACTTGTGCTTCGGAGATCTCTCAGGATTCTTTGTTCATTCAGGAAGGCACACATGAAGCATGCAATGGAAACCGCATCTTTTTCGGGAATGTCTCAGGTTCTTTTCCATTCCAAGACCGGGACGCCACTAGCTACGCCCTGTTCATCGCCTGCACTGGGGGAGCTGAGGTTGCTGGAGGACTCCTGCGACAAGCTTGTGAGGTACCCTGGGCCCCTCTGTGTGGCTTTCCTTGCGTCTGATGGTTTCTGATGATTTGGTCAAGCAAAACACCCCAGGTATTGGTGGATGAACCTTGCCAGAAAAAGTATTCTGTTCATGTTGGGGAGTTTTGACAAGTCTTGACATGTTTTTGACCATTGATGTTTTTGACCGCAAAAATAAGCAGCTCATAGTAGCTCCACTGTCCCGTCCCACTCACCAGCATGAGACGCACGTCCTCCTTGGCCACGAGACTCACAAAGGTGCACACCACGAGAACCGCAATGCCATAGACGAGGTAGAAAAAATAGAGTGGAGCACCTTGCTACGGCCAAAACTGGAGGGTTAGAGTGGTGAACGAAGAGGACATGACTCAGCAAGGTTATCGCTTTTTGGGAGGGCCTCGGGCCTATCACTTTTTTTTTCTGCCCCCACCCACACTTTCAATATACATTATATATTATACAACATTACACATAGCTGAACATACCCATAAACTGAATTGACAGGTTTCAGCTAATTGCTTACTGTACATTATTTTATGACTCATCGCTGGTTTAGTTGCTCAATATGGCAAACATGCCAAACAGCGGATTTCTGCCTACAACTGTAAAGCAAAAAGGGCCTTGGTCTGCCATGGCAAATAAATGGTGGATGAATGGGCTCATGTTGGTACTCCGAAATTCTTGAATGGATAGGTCCAGGAACAAAGTAGTTGTGCATATACGAGATCGAATCTATGACAAAGACATACAAAAACACCAGATTGAAGCGGCCGATCTTGACGTCCAATGGCTTTTGCTTACTTACAACTGTGGGCGACCAACCCTCTCAGCCCATTCTGTTCACATCCCCCAAAACTGTTCTGCAAGGGTTCTGAAAGGCCTCTGTGACGCACCATGACATTTCATGACGGTCTTTCAAACCGCTACGAACTCACCCGCGAACGCCTGAGGTGAAATCCAGAAAGCCCACGGCGCACACAGCGCCCAGGAAGGAATGCAAGGCCTGGGACGAAGAACGCTGCCGTCCGTGGCGGTAGAGCAGAACGTGTTATATTCAAGTCATCAACAATAGCAAAACTGATGAACAGGAGGGCTGAGCGGTTGGAAAAATATGGGCTTGGCTTGCTCAGATGTTCAAAGGACAATCCGTGGAAAGCCTAAGCCATGTCCTCGAAACTGAGGCATCTGTCTCAATGCCAATATGAATATGTTTTAATGCTGCAAAGAGACAGGTTGGACATTGAGCCAGTACAGTCATTGGAGCGAAATACCAAAAAAACTGCATCAAACAGGAACACATTGACATAAATATAGGCATACCCGCAGAATGCCAAGCTTAAGAACTTTGAACAAAACTTGATTCTTGTTCAACACAAAAAGAAACGAACCAACCAACCTGATTGCAGATTCTGCCACCTTCTTTCTTATCATCTTATCATCTGTATGGTTTACGCGATTTGGTGATTGTGTCTTGACCATATTTTGGCCACAGCGACCATGATGCCAGAGATGAGGCCAGCTTCAGACTCAGCACCCCTGGTACCTCGTTTGATGGATGTTTTGATCAAAACCATCACTGGAGTCAATGCTGGCCAAACACAAAAACACATGTGAACTGGGTCTTGTGTGTCTCCAGCGAAGCTTCACCGTGTCCTGCCGTCTTCGCTGTCAACTGGTCCAAGTTTGTGGTGCGACGGTTTGACGCCATTACAACTGCAACAGGGGAGCATCCAGTAGGCCATTCATGGTGAAAGTGAAGCAATGAAGGATGTACAACATATGAATTAAGTCTTATTAACGTATAAACTGCATGGTATCTATGCTTCATAGTTCGAGTCTCAACTGCTGAAAACTTCCCACAATAGATGCATCTCATGCGGTGCGCACTTGGCTCTTCAAACTGAGGCTGAACGCGCAAATCCTGAGGAGCATGAGCAAGTTTGTCAAATTCTCTCTCAAGTCACGAAACAGGAGTGATCTCTCACCAAGCATTTATACCATTCGGTTCACAAGAGTGTCTTGCATGTTGCATCAATACATCTCTGGACATTGATTACATAGACTCAAAATCTGGGTTTCATGTCAAATGGTTTGAGGCCATAGTTATCGAAAAAATAAAACAAACAACGAGTCTTCAGTAGATCTAAATATATATATATGTCAATATATTTTTTTAAGTATATATATCAGTCAATATATCAGGCTGTTCGATTCATGCCCAGCGGCAGCGGGCAAGGCCGCATGCGCTGCGAAGGCCACGTTCAGGGACGTCTCGGTGAAGGCTAAGGCACAAAGAAAGCCCTCAGGGCAAAGGTAGCGACTGCAGAAGTAAAGACACAGAAATCCTGGCGCATAGCGCAACCAATGGCTTTTCTGATCTTTTCTGTGCTGGAGAAACTGGCTGAAGTTCTGTGAAGAGCGTTTAGTCGTGAAGTTCACTGGGCAATCTCAGGTGTGCGAAGTGAGAATCTCGCAGTAAACATTTAAGTTGAAACGAATGGGCTTGGCTGCTAGGGTAATAGGGGCGATGATGAACATGTCTTCGAGAGGCTCATTTCTTCGGACAGCAAACATGGCGCTGGTTCAGTTGAACCTGGGATAGTCCTAGCACTCGGAACTGGTTGAATAGTCACACTCTGTACCAACATCGAGAGTCATCCTTCAAACGAGTTCCATGGACGAACATCCGATCTCTACAAGTGAGTCGTCCGTATTCATCCTAGTTCTTAATCGCTTCATCCAGCTGCTACCTACCACAACATGCTACCAGAACCGAGTACCTACTGACCTACCTACGAATAGCCTGCGACCGCACTGGAAGCATCTCCTGCGACGGGTTTCGGATGGTTTCGGTCCTCCGCCCGCCAGCAGGCTCGCCGTCAGCATCACTGGCCGCCGCCGGCCGAAGGAGCAGTTCAAGCGATCGGAGAAGAGGCCGGCCATGGGGCCTCGGTGACAACGTGAGCGATCCAAAAACCGTGGGGAAAGGGTGAAGATGAACAGAATGAACATGTAAAGCAATCAAGCACAAGTCCCAACATGAAGAAACCACATTGCTTGACTGGCACAACAAACTCTGGCAAGTCAGTCTCGAGATCGGCGGATGAGACCAGGGGTCTACAGTGCTTTATCTCAGCGAATGGTAAGACAAGGGACAAATGAGCTGTGTGACACCACAGATCATCACATATGTGGCTAGCCACAGGCTCGAATCAGCCTCGGTCGCTGCTCTCTCGGGAGGATAGAATAGGTCTGCATTCTGTTGAACGAGTGTCCACCTCACTGGAAAAGCTTTGGCCCCCCGTGAGCACACAAGTTGACAGAGTGTTTCATTGTGAGTTGGAATTAAATTCGACTGGTCTTGCTGATCCTGCATGTTTGGCTCAAGCAACAGGTAAAGGACATAGAAAAGGAAGATGCATGGGATACCGTGTTAAATTAACCCGGAAATAATTAGTGCAATCGAAACGTGCAGCATTCTGTTCTATACTTGGAGACCCCTTTGGTGCGAAGCCTCAGGGGTCATAGTTGTACGTGTTACAAAATAATTTGTGAGAACAATACATACGTGGAAAGACCTTGATGAAGGGGTTCAGAACACAAGGGTTTAAGATTCTATTGTTCCAAGAATTCTGATTGCACCATAGTACTACCATATTACATAACTAGGCCTCTGGGAGATGCAAACATCAATATTATTGAAGTGACATGATATCGGGAAGGAAAACAGCGAAGACTGATTCTATGAGATTTCAGCACTGAGGGTCCTTTACGACTAACCAATAATGCTTGAACGTTTCAGATCATCATAATTTCTTTGGGGGTGCTTAGTTAATATTTGTTAATACATGTAAGAGATCGGTGAGCTCATGTTGTGCCGACTTGTCTGATAAACCACTGTAGGATACCAAACAAAGATAATACTAAATAATACTAAAGGATTTCTGGATCTAGAATACATTAGAATACCACAGCGGGAACTTATTAGAACTCCTGGAGAGATGGCGTGAAACGCCATGACCATGGTCCTTTGAACAAAAGTCTTCCACCATACCAATGCGGCCTGAGGTAACATCCATCCGAGTCCATCCGGTGCCCTATAAGGTCCGAGCCTTCAAGCGCCAGGTCCAACACCCTTCCGATGGTGTCCGGTGGAATTCGGTCTTCCCGGTGGCCTCTTCCGGTCCTCCGTCCCAGCCGCCGAGTGGAGCCTTTCGGCCTCCTGGGGCAAGATGGTCAAAGCGAAGCCGGTGGTGATCATGGAGTAGATCCATTGGTAGCTCGTAATGCATGACCAGGAGACGGCACCTGGCCACAGCGAAACACCGGAACACGCCCCGTGACGGTGGTCAAGCACGCGGGGCCTTCTGTGGAGACGGAGCTTTGGTTGAATGGGAATTGAGGCACCTAAGTGCAAAGGAACCCAAGACCCTAAGGGATCAGGATGACGGAAAGTAGGAAAGCACAAGTACGCGTACTCGCTACAGTATAATACAGTATACACACTTGATTAAATGACATTTACAACTTACGACCACGGTCAAACGAAGAAAACACATGAATCACATGAAACCACATTTGGAGCTACAAGGAACTGCCAAACGAATATCGGAGAAGTGGAGCATCACTTGGCCTCAAATCGGGTGATACACGAACCATGGTGAACCCATCACCGGATGAAGCCCCCAAGTGATGGACCTTGGAACGCCCTTCCTCCGCAAAAGCAGGAGGCGCCTGGCTTAAAACAGGTGTTTCAATACACGGGGCCATCTCAGATTTGGGCAGTATCATCGAATTGTGCTTGTTCGGAGAAGCAATCACTTGCATAAACATTGATTCAACATCAACACAATGGGCATTGCAGGCTGTTGCAGCTGCCCGGTATACCTGTTCATGGGCTCCAAGTGACCACGACTAGTGACCACCTCACCGGTTTATAGTGTTTCATCACAAATGATCTTCAATGTTTATAGATGTTGATATTATGATTAGATGAGATCTAACACGATCTAACCCCCTCCCTGTTCTTTGAGCACTGCAGCACCACGCAAAAAAAAAAAAAACAAAGAGAGTCCTGTGCCAAACATCGACGAAGAAAAGAACGACTGCTCATGCTGAAGAAACAAACAAAATGTATATAACTTGTTCTAGAGGTATCATGATGTATCTTGTTTCCAACGAGACATCGTGTTTCCCGTCAAAAGAACTCACCGGGAGGTCACCGGGGGCCGCTCACAACGAGTCGCTCCTGCCAGCAGGTTTGCACCTCGTCGCCGCATGTCTCTCTTCGAGACACGACTGTGCAGCGTCTGGTAACCCTCCTGCGCAGTGTCTGGGTCTTCTGCCGACTTCTAAGTCCAGTTCACAGTTCTTGGAGTAAACAGAATGGCTGATCCTGAAAATTTAAGCAGGACAACATGGATTGATTGGCCATCGGAAAAGCACACATGGATGTGGTCAGTGCCAAAACCAGGAAAACCACTAAACCAGGGGAGAAAAAACATACAAACTGGTCACTAGAGTGTCTAGGCTACAAGTAGCACAGTAGCACCATGATTTTAGATTGATGTGTGATATTGTGTGACGTTCGTTTAAATGATGTTTGGTGCCCACTCAAGGATCCACTTCACACCCAAACATCGCCAGGAATCACGAGAAGGTTGGAAGCCGTAGCCGTACGCCCCTCAGCCCCCTTCCAGGGATGACGGACGGCATGCGACGCATGCGTGGATGCGCAGATCCTGAAGATCCTGACATAGTGGTGGCGTCTCCGTGTCGGTTCCCATGACATTTGGTCGATGAAGTCGCCAGACATCGAGTGCGCTTGGCCCACAAAGGCTGCACGTCGACCATTGGTAGCGTATGGAAGAAGAATGAAGAACAAGTTAACAATGAACAAGGTTAAAACATGGACAGTGACGTGGCCATCCAAAACATGAAGAGAATAGTCAACAGGGCCTCACGTGTTGTCAAGATTAGCAAACAAGTGAGCAAGAAAAATGCAAGCGTAGCGTCAAACATCAAGCACCAATCTTTAGTATCATATATAATTACATAGTAAAATGTGTTACAGTACATATTTAGAGGGAGTCCAGGTTCGTCACTGTCTCCCATCCAGCTATCCGATGCCTTCCTGCACCACCTGGACGCTTGACACGCACCATGAAGGCCTGACCCGGATGCGGCGATGCGTCTGTCGCCGCACCTCCGAGATGCCCACCCGGCGTCGCGGCGATGCGTCTGTGGAGGCTTCGCCCAAAGCAGTTCCAGCGGATGACCCGTAAGCCCGCTTGACCAACCTTGACGTCAAACAGTTATGATAACATAAGTTCTCAATAACTTATATATAGTTGAGTAAAGGTCTAGGTTGGAAAGTGTATGTACGTGTACATCTTTAAGGACATGAACATGGATATTGGTGTGCCAGTGAACCAACTCACGAAGGACTTTGCTTTCTTCATGTCAACTCTTGTGCCAATGGTCTTCCTCAGGTCCTTCACCCGCCAACCTGATTGCAACGAGGGACCCTCTCCCGCCGCTGACGCCGCCCCGGTCGACCGCAGCGGTTTGAGCCTGTTCCAATCCACTGAATTCAGAGAGGATCCAACATGCCGGGGAGTCCGGGGAGAAGAAAAAACACATCACTTCAAATTGACCGTCCAAAGCAATGCCAAAGCAATGCCATTGTTAGAATCTGCCACCTGACACACTTCCGCGAAAAAGTGAACAAACAAAGCACACGGATGGATCCCGGAGGTGTATCATGACGTCCCGCAGTTTGCTCAGTTTACGCCGCACCCCTTTTTGGTCTCACCGAGCTCATCTCGGTGCCGGAGCGTCCTTGCGCCGCAGGCATCGCTGCCTGGGAAAAGACGGACCGAAAAATTTGCGAGCCGTTCGATGGGTATAAAATGGGGTGGTCCAAGGTGGCCGGGCAAATGCTTTGAAGGTGCATGGGTTGAATTCTCCTATGATGTGTTGAGTTGAGAGGTCCATGAATGCATGCTAGCCGCGGGTTTATATATATACTGTATATAGTTTATCTTCCAATATAGGAAGAACTGCATCGCTGCGGGTGTCTGACAGAGTTTACTCGTTGACATTTCTTGTGAAAAAAACATGCCCTCCCTAAATTGCTTTGAGGAACGCAAGGAACAGCTAGAAGATTGACAAATCCCATCCACCCGAGAACCTAACCACCTAAAAGGGCCTCCCTAGCATTCAGAGATGCACTGTCCAATCTCAAATGGATTTTAAGTTAAGCAAAAAACAGGTCCAGTGAAGACACTTAAAATACTTAAAACAATCCTCGTCTCACTCTCAGAGTTTATAAACATGGACAGGCTCTTGGTGCAGGTTGGCACGCTCTTTTCCCGAAGTGCGTTCGCCTGAGAGGGCTGGAGCCGAATCTAGGTGAGTGACGAGTGATGATTTGGTTAGTGAAATTGAACAACCCAGTCATCGTCCCCACCAAAGGTGATGCGTGTTGGACTTCGGCCTCTGCCTTCTTCCTCCTGCACTTTCTCGTGGCAAACGCTGTCGATTCCCCTGTAGCTCCAACCTTCCTCAGGGAAACGCACAAACCAGCCACCTGATGCGCTTAGAGATACAAATTCAGCACTTTCGTCCGCACGCCGCAACTTCTTGGACAAAGCGTTGGGCAAGCCCTCCCAATACGATCCGTCCGAAGTATTTACCCACCAGCCGTCATCCGGACCGAATGCCACTGCATACACATCATCTGCTCTCTTTACGGCCTTGCCGAAAGCTTTGGCAGCCTGCCAAACCCGTGCCCCGTTTTCAAATTCTATAAAGAAGCGTTCGTTGTCTCCCAGAGCAACATACTGCGGATCGGCTTCACTTTCTGACAAAGCACTCGAAGCATCTTCTGGGATATGACGATACTTCCAAGATCCACCTTCAGTAGAAAAGAAATACCCCGACTCGGAAGGATGAAGAGCCAAGCATTCAAGCCCAGCAGCCACAACAGAATCAACGAATGATTGTTGCGTTGACTTATCGCGGAGTCGCGCCCACAACTGGGGGCCCAACAAATTCAAATCACTCCGTCCCCGAACCTCAACACCTATTCCACCATCCTGCGTGGTGAACCGTCTCCGGGGTATAGGTTCATCTGTGGTATCGACTGCTATCTTTCGCAGCTTTCCCTTCTTCGCAAGCATGCGGAAAGTCCACAAACGACGATTGCCATTCCATGCAAACCATTTGCCGTCAACCCAAGCCACCGTCATTCGTGGAATGACAGACACGTGAATGTCACCGTCCCGCAGTTGTCGGTATGTGTCTTCAATCAATCTGCCGCAGGAAAAACGTTGAGAGATAGAGTCATGTGAGAAGTGAATCTCATTCGGGTAGAGCTTCATTGGTTCAATATGCCAAAAGTCTTCAGCTAACCACCTTCACCGGCGTCCATGCGTCTGTATGTGGATTTGTTCTAGATCAATGCTGCTTGCACTTGGTTTCAACAGCATGACACCTGTATTTGCTTGCACAATTGGAGCAATTGGACAACTCTTGACACATAGCGGCACCAATGATTCTATAAATGTCTATAATGAGCCGTGCTACAAGCATGGGCTGGGTCTCAGTGTCAGCTGCTTGCCTTAATAAACTCAAAATATATCAACATACAAACATCCTCTCCAAGGAGAACAAAATGAAAGAGCTTAAAAAGAAATAAGAAAACATTAAAAACAAAAACATATTAATATGATTTAATATGTATATAATGTATATTCTAAATCATAAATCAGTTTGAGTCCCAAGGGTCTTGTGCCATACTTGGGGCCCCGAACTTTCCATTGCACTCGGAATACTCCACAAGCCTGGGGTGGCCGGTTCCATGTTTTCGGTGGGTTGGTTCCATGATCCGTATGATCCATTGCTCCGGTCACTTGCCCTCGGGTCAAGTGACCCACTCACCTCTTGGGATGGTCAATCAAGCGATATGGTCAAGTGACCCACTCGCCTCTTGGGATGGTCAATCAAGCGATATCCAAAAATAGAAGAGTGAGAATGAGATGCTCCAAGAGGATGTGAAGAAGCAAAGGCCTCAATTTGGTGCACATGTGAACAATTGTCAACATGTCGATCCAACATCTTGATGATCATTACAATTCACATCAATTCACCTATCTTCATGTGTCACACATTCTCTCGGAGATCATTCTGGGACGTTCTCACCACTCACGTCCTCGAGACCGTCGAGGTTGGTCAAACATCGTTCCGACATCGTCAGCGCCTGAGCTTGAACTTTGGGTCCTCGATCGACGGGAATCAGAGGTTGGTGGCGCGAGGGTTCGATGGGGGTGCGGATACGGAGGACGGATGGGCCATAGCTTGGGGATTCTGAATGAAGAAGCCAAGATGACAGGATCATTTTATGGATGGCGAACGAATGTTGGTGGATCCAGAACATACATATGTCTTATAGAGGGAAATCCTCACCAAACGAAACTCCCCTAAGTGGATCATGCTGCCGTCCTCATGGCTCAACTCGCGAAAACTGGCGTCGACTCAAGATGCAAGCCTGAGGTGACTTCACAAAGTCATGTTTACACACTGCCGTAAAAGATGAAGCCGCAAGTTCAGGCAAGTTCATAGTATGTGGACTCAACCACGGTGGGCAGAAAAGAGGCTGAACCAACACGTGATAAGCCATGATAAATCACCCCGATCTTGATGGAAGAAAAACTTGCAGCTGTGGAGTCTGGTGTCAACAACAAGATTGTCTTTTCAAAGAAGAAATCATGTACAGGGGATGGCACGTGAAGTCCACTCACAAGTTTGAGATTGATTGCACTTGCCCTTTCGGGTCCTCTTCCTCTCGTGCTGCAGCCATTGCAGGGTCCGTCAAACATGCGCACCAGGACTCCTCCTGCGTCATTGTCTGAAAGGCCGAGTTGAACCAAGGCGTTGAATCTGAAGCACAAACTGGTGTAGTCCCTCCATACTGACAAAGCACTGATCACAGGTGAGGGTGCGTTTGAAGATGAGTTTCAACCATGAGTCTACAACACAATGAGCCTAAACAAATTTCACTTGCTCAAACGGTCCGGTCAACTTGGAGCATTCCATCTTGACGACCGAGAACACACTTAGCATTTTTCAATCACAATTAGATTGTTCTTCAAGGTAGTCCCCCAGAGGATTTGAGTGGCACTTTTGACCTCTGAAGAGCAGCGAGCAATACCTTGTGAACAAATCTGCTGAGGAAGCTCGATTCATCTGCAGTACTATGAACTTGCCTCTCATTTGTGTGAAAATGTGTGAAACGCAAGTTAAACACATGAAACAATATGCTTTTTGGCCATTCACTCGCCATCAAAATCCCCTAGGTAGGTATGCCCGCGGGTCGCATCCTCAATTGTTCACATTGTTACGAGTACAATGAGTCCAAGTTTATTGATTGATTGTGCTGATTGATGTTCACAATCCCAGAGCTGCTGATCACAGGAAAAGGACAGTAAGTGCACGGGTTCAAGGCAAGTATTCTATCCTGATTCGTTCTATCCAATTGTCCTACTGCACACCGCTACTGTAGTGTTGCTGATGCTATAGTACCTCCCGTTCTCCTCTACAATGTCACAGTCACAGCCGGAGATCCTCATAATTTTGGAAGTTACAACGATATAGACATTGAATCTCTGTTCAAGGCATAGATCCAGATTCCAAACGATGTTTAAGTGATCTGTGCAACAAATCCATGGTAGTGGATTGAGAGTAGAGTAGATGGCTTCCAAGTCCTCCGGTCCCCTACTCAAACGCGGTACTTCTTGGTCCTTTCCCAGCTCAAGCATCTCCACGGAGAGGAACACTGGACGAGTTCCTGGAGACTTGGAGCTCACCCGCTGCTTGAGACCCACATGGAACCGGCATGGACGCATGGACCAGACTGGAAGACTATGTTCCTCTATAAACCGGACGTGGAGAACCACGGTTCCATGTGGGTCTCTTCCAGGGTGTAAAAGCTGTGTCAGCGAAACACTTCGGACTTCGTGACCTCGTGAGGGCGGTCCCTCACGAGGTCAAGTCCGGACTAGAAGTTTTTTATCTGCGGATGCAGCAAAGAAAGGAATCCAGAGCTCCCGCCGTTGCCAACGTGGACTTTCCTTGAGAAGATCAACAAAAACACACAGGTGCCAACGGTTTATTGGTCGCTCCGCTGAGCGGGATGGTCCGGGATGGTTCTTTTTTGAGCTTTGATGAGCGTTGAGTGCTGGTGACCGCAAAGAATGGATCCTTGGGGGAGGGCCCAGTTCTTGCTTTCCATATTATATATTATTAAACATAGACTTCTGATGATTTCTGTGTTCAGTAGTTCAATTTGACTCTGGTGAACCTTCAGATTGTTGGGATCGAATGAAGACTTGCAAGTCTCAACAATTGGTCCCGCCATCGAGATTGAATCATCCATAAGTCCACCTTGGACTTCAAGGGCACACTACAGAAGCTATGCTACTACATGCCATAGATACTAGATATATCATATATCTCTCTCTTACTCTTCTCTGCAAATACACTCTTGTCTGCTATCTCCTTCACCTGCCTGGTCGGCCCTTGCTATGCCAGGTCCCCCAGTCCCTCATCTGTGGCCTAAAACCACGGACCCCAAGGAGCTCCTTTGCCATGGTAGCTCTCATCGCACCAGATTTCGGAATTGGGATTGTCCTCGTGGCGCTTGAATCTGCAGGTAAACGCAAAACAAAGATACTGTACAACGTACAGTACAATATCTAGTAAACATGGTTATATTATAGAAGTTATATTATGTCGTAATAGTAATATATGGTGGTTGATCAATATTCTTTCATCCTGGAATGGCCATTCATCGCGGAAAAAAAGATATCTTTCGCGGCCTCATCGCGAAGCATGGTCCTACAACCATGTCTAGCCAACATGAGCCGGAACATGTCATAGTATCACAAAATACAGTAGGGAGACATCTTGCAGCATGACCCCAGTAGATGGTTGAACGTTTCCACAGCTACTCAGGGTCACTTGCAGCATCTGTTCGACAATTGTGCCAAATAGAGTCAGGCACAACTCAACCCAATCCTCGTGCCAGCTACCAACACAGGGTGATGCAGCTTGGGGAATGTTGGGGGGCCTCAAGCTGGGAACCTAGACTTTAGCGGCACATTCGCGAAACTTTCGCGGATCTTTCGCGAAATTTCACTGGTGCTTTCCCCGGGAAGCCGCAACATTTGCAAACATCTGCGCAGCCCGTCAGAGCAGCTGCAGGTCGTTGCCTCACTGTCAGGGCTGTGCCTACCCAGATTGCTAGTCTGTGACAGTGGGGACAGGAATCGGAGAATCCTTTACGCACTGCCAGGGCTCGGCACGGAAATGTTGAGGCTTCAGTCGGCTTCAGTTCGTTAGTCTGTGACATATGAGGACACTTCCGCCCACTGGCTCTGCCGGAGGATTGCCTTGCGTTTCTATTCTTTGTCAGTCCGGTAGAAAGGAAAACAATGACAGCGATGACCTTCGATAAATCTTTATCGGAAAAAAAGATACTTTCGCGAACCTCATCGCGAATCTTTCGCGGATGGTTCTAACAACATCTGAAAGGCTGTTTTATATAAAACTCCTTGCACGGGGTTTTCGATCAACTCCCATATAGTACTATGATATAAAAGAAAGCAGGCTGCCGGCTTGAATGCTAGCTTTGTATAAAATCACGAAGACATCAACGAGCTGCTGTCTTGATTGAGTACAAGCAGCTGCGGATTAGAATCTAGATGTGAGACTAGATATACCCCTGTAGAGGAATGAGTTTGATATGTTGTCGGAGTTTCGCCCATGTTTCTCACACTCCCACTCATGCGGACTCGCAACAAACTATGTATTACTGTGTGATGTTCTCACAAGCTGTTCCAAGTGAAGAACCATGTCCGTCCCACTCTTACCACTCCTGGCTGGTCTTGCTATTGCACCCCTGGCAAGAAGAATGCACAAAAGGTGTCACAAACACCAAATGCCAGCAGCATGTAGATTGGTAAGCTTGTATTTGCCTGTACAAAAAGCTGCGTGAACTACCATGTTGTCACATTGCAAAGATCAAATGGACATAGACATACACATAAACACATGATGACATATGGCAAAGATTGGCCCAGTCTTCCAACGGTGCACCTTGAAGCGGCTCTTCAAGTCTTTCTGGACCTTGAAACGGCTCACGACGTCCGGACCGGGCACAGGCGACACCGAATGCAACCGGCGGAACAGGCGCCGTTTCAGAGCCTGGCCCCCATGGGAGTGACTCGCCTTTGCGTTTGGCAGATTCAATTCCAACAAAAGTGATGCCATGCCTGCTATACCTATATATGTAACGTTCCCAAAAAACACTGCCAGACTCAGACCTCGAGTCTTGCAAGACCTCCAGAATCCCAATCAAGTTGGGAGCATTCTTTGGCTTTTATATCAGATGAAACATATATGATGATCTATATCCGCCGACCCCGGCCTATAGCCAAAGCCTAGGCGGGGAGGCGCCTGGGACACCGCAGGGCGAAGCAGTTGG